GGCAAATGGAAGGCTTTCTTTTTGGCCTGTTTTAGTACCGAAGTTTATCGCTAGAAAGCGTTATTTACGTTCTACAAAGAGCCTATCGTGAACACGACTTTAGTTACGGATCGATTTAATTGTAGGTGTAATTCTAATTGAACGGATGGCATTTTGAAGTATTATTCCATTAAATTATTATAAACAAAATCCATTTATATTGAAGGAGAAGCTTTTTATATCATGATTAAAATAATTTTTAAATTGCAAGAAAAATTATTTTCAAATTTTTTTATTCAAAATGCACCTGACCATGGATCTTTTATTCTTTGTGATAGCTAGTCATAATATTTTCTAAGTATAATTGTGTTTCATAAATTAATAGCCTTCCAGTTTGAGAACTGATTTTAAGTGACGCATGAAGAGAATCATTTGACGTTGAGTCTAATTGCTATATAATATACTCTTCGCACTGCTTTGCTTACATATTAAAAAACGCGAAATATATTTCTAATATTTTTAACTCATTGCTATAAAATCTGAATCATCGATTATAATATATATTATGAATTAATGTGACAAAATTTTGTATTTTTATATGTGGATACAATAGGTCATATTTGGCATCCAGAGTTATCCGTAATTGAGTCTGATATGGGTGTGAGAGAAGACGTACTAAACTTATATGTAACAATACAGTTTTATAGACAGATTTATTTCGAAGCTTCACAGAGAAAAGTCAACCATAAAGCAAAGTAAAATATTTTTGTCAGCAATTCATAATGTTCCATATATGTGCTTTTAATTAACTTAAATAATTTATTGCATTAAAATTGTACAAATGCGTATTTACATTAAGTCTGAATATTATGTCTAATATGATTTTATACATATTTTTAATACAGTCCCTTCCTGATTTGATCTATTGAAATTAAAAGCGGAAAAAAAAAATTACTGAAGAAATAATTGAAAAATTAGCAAACGTAATAGCTGAAAAATTACTATGCTGTAGCCACTACATGTTTTAAAGTACAGGTTTCTTAATTTTGTTTTAAGAATATTATTATGCAGTTAAGAATTTTGAAAAAATGGCGTCTTAAAGAAAATACACTTCTCAAGTTATAATTATTCATTTTTAAAATAGAAATGTATATTTATAAATTAGGCTGAAAGGACAACTATTTTTGATACCAGTAGTTTGAAAACGATCTGTTTGCAGCAAGCAAAGCAGTTAAAAAATTGTTAATGTGTATTTTTAGAGATAATTCAGAATGACATATTTAGATTACACACTATAATTATTTAAATTTCACAAAGTGTATAAATCTATCTTTTTCAACCTCTGTGCCATAGAACCCTGAAATTATTTTCAAACCTTGCCGCGCATTTACGTTCTTTATCTCACAAGTTATACAGTGATCAATCAATTCATAAATTTCATGCTCAAATAATAATGATCTTGAATATATCTGAGTGTGGCTCTGCTTCTTTGAGAAAATCCTTAAACTCTTGAGCTACTTTAATGTGCTGTTTATTCTTCCTACAAATTTCCGAGCCGTGAAATATATGCAATGAAAATACGAGCCAGTTCCCGTAAAAAGTTTGGGCACCCCTCCTCTTAAGCAGATAACTCTCGAATGCTTTTCCGTAATCTTAATAATTCAATATGAACTGTAATATAAATATCCTAATTTTAAATGCATATTAAAAGAAACAAATGAATTATATTCGTGCCTGCGAAGTTTTAGAATGAAAGGCATTATATTTTGGAATTAGATATAACTGGAAATTAATATATTCTGCTCTCTGTATTGTCCATATATTACAACATAAGTTTTGTTTCAATAACTTCCACCTTCCTATTCAGTAAACGTTAGCCCCAAAACTGGAAACAAAATTCTAGTTTTATCCAAAGCTTATTAATTTTAACGTATTAAAAAAAAAACTATTAAATTAGTAAATTTAAATTAGTAAAATATTTAATAATAAATTAGTTAAAATTTGTTGCATATATTTTGCTTCCTATTGCTAATTTGACAACAGCTATAAAATATACCCTATTCTGTTAGAAATATAGGTTTCAGCATTGCATTTAGTTGCTCGGATTGAAACTTAAATGAATTTGAATCCCAAGTCATAAAAGGAAATAAATAAAACTTGTCAATCATGAGACATTTTTATACAAAATAATAAACAGAGGATTTATCTAAAGTGGTATACAATGATTACTCGGTAATCACTACTACATGGATAATTCTATCTTATAATAATCCATTTCGAAAAACTTCATATGAAAAGTAACGTTCATACATTCACCGCAAATGCTGTAAGTTTTCTTAGCTATAAAATATACCCTGTTGTTACTTAGAAGTTTTTAATAAGAACATTATTGTTTCTAACTGCAATGTGTTTTATTTTTGTTTTAGAAAATGTTTATACCTAAGACATATCTCCAATGATTGTCTTGGGGGGTAAAGTTCTTTTGTTTTTTTTCTTAAAATGAATTTATGTCATTAAACGTTGTCACGTAAATGGAGCACCTCATTTTGAGTTAACTGTTTCATTATCATATTCTTATCTAGGAGCTACTGCTTATATCTCAGTGTATTGGATGAAAAAAATTAATTTGCATTTTCAAATTACTCTATACGGCATATCAAAGAATTTCTATGATAATATCCTGTAGCGTGTTTGAAAATGATATATTTCCCTTAATTACATTTATGTGCTTTTTTTAAATAAATGACTTAATTTTAAAATGTTCTTGAAACAGTATATTGTTTTTAAGATGGAAAGCCAACTATAGAAACAAGTACCGATTATACATGCATATCTATTTCATGCTGTTCTGTTCTCTCTAATTAAAGAAAGGTAATATTATTGATTCTAGAAAATCTCATTCTTTCATAACTAATTTTAAAAATATATTATAAATTTATTATGATAAATTAGTTTAATAAATTAATTAGTTTCATTTTAAAATGGAAAGTAATCACTAAAGTAATAAAATATTTCATAAATTTAGATAATTAAAATTTTACTTAGGTTAAGTCAGCTAATTAAAGTTCATGTCGAACTAATTGTAAACTATTAAAGGAAAACTAGCATTATTTTCAGTACAAAATTGCACTGGTATAAAATACCCTTCGACGGGTCCATTATTAAAGTGCTTTTATCTCTATAGATATAATATCCCTACAGTTAAGATTAATAGTCAGAATTTATTCGTTAAGTGAAATTAATAAACATTTTATACACTGGAGTGTAAAAACTGCATCAAGATTGGATGTAGATGGAATCACAAGTTCCATGACCATCTTCCCAGTTAAAATTTTTTAACTCACTAATGAGTAGACTTTTTTTTTTTTTTTTTTTTAATAAAACGAGACTAACTGTCTTGTGCTAGAAGCAGAATTTGGCAAAGATTTCCTAATTTTAAGTTACACATGGGAAAAATCACAAAACATTTGACAGCTCTGGAGTCAGACCAAGTCGAAGCTTTTGCTTTTGGGAGAAGGAGGGGTTAGGCAAACCCCTCGGTATCTCTCTTTTTATTTGTTTAATAAATCCACTAGAATACAGGAAGGTGGGTTTAAACAGGTAAAATATAATGCAGCAGTAACTTAGTCCGAATACTTTGTACTCATTTCGGATAAAATTGATAATGTGTTGGTCTCTTTCGTTCTTATTCGTAATCAGCATAATTTATTTGCGGCCAAATAAACGATATGGATTAACACTGATTGTCCGTCAAAATTAAGCTGAATTCGATCACAGAGTGATGCTAATTTTAGAGAAATTTTGTGTACACTTCGAGAGATTTGACAATAAGTCTCTCAGGTTTCTCCGCACATCTTCTAAATAGCACCATAGTTTTGCTATGTTATTTTAGCATTCATACATTATTAAAACGAAATTTCAGTGGGAAAGAGAAGTACGTATAATTTTCAAGTTCTTTCAGAATTTTTTTTTTTTAAATATATATTGCAAAAAGGTTAGCAAACACTTCGAAAAAAATTTTTAAGCTAATTTGCAGGGTTGAATGTGCGTATATTTTAAGTGTGATTTTTTACTAATTTTCATATGTCACTACAATGGGAAAACTCGTACTGTCGTTGGTAAAGCGGAATTTCACCAGAAAATGTGAATTTTCAAGGCAAATTGTTCTAAACGCAGCTCATTTCCTTAAAAATTTAATCAAGTGCAGTATTTGTATTTTTCAAAATAATGCATTTACTAATTTTAAAATAAATGCAGTCCGTTCTTATATTTTAAACTTCACTGACTACATTTAATTTTAACAGCATTGAACTGAATGCAATTTTTAATATTCACATTACAACTATTGTAAAATCTCATGCAAGAATTTATTTGAAATTTGAATGAGTTCACCTGAAACATGATTGCAATAAATTCAACTTTCAAATTAATTCATTAAAATAATAGTTTAGTTAATATTTTAAATTACTTAATTAAACAAATTATCCGAAAAGGCGTACTATGTTCATTTTCGTAGTTGGTAAATTTATTATTAGATAACTAGTAAATAAGAAGCACTTATTCCTTCAGTGCAATAATGTCATAATCGTTGGTTAAGAAACTAGACGTTTCAGTATAATGACGTTATTTCATTATCACGCCTAAGTTCGGAAATAAGAATAAACTGTTCTTGCTTCAGTTTCATTCAGAGCACTTCTGAAGTAGCTAATGTAGTCAGTATTACTTGGGCATCATGACTAGACATACGTATACACAAAACTACCATCATGGTAACTACTTTACTAGTAGTGACTACTTTTTAAAGTAGCGACACTCTACAGTAGTAGCAGTCTTTACTGAAAGTTTACTTTTCAGCAGAGATTTCATTTGCATTTTTTATCTGCTTAATTTAAATTATTTCTGAGTTTTATACATTTGAAAATATCTTACATTTTCATTTTGTTCCAGATTCAACCAGTACAGGGGGGATATAAAAGTTTAATTTTTTAAAATTTTATTGGGTTTAAATAAGGGAAACTTACCTTTTATGTCAGATAAAGAAGGAAATAGTCGCTTTCCTCCTCTTGTAAGTCGTTTTTATTTGAAATTTACAATGAATTACTGTTTCTATAAATTAATTGTTTTAGCAAATAAATTAGTTAATAATATTTTCAAAAAATTTGTCCTGTAACGTTTAAAAACCGCTAATTACTATGATCATTTGTGTTCGAAATAAATGGCGTGACATTTCAAAGTAAATTTCGTTTTAAGCATGAACTTGAGAAAAGCTCCGTCTTAACCCGGTAGAGGGCGCTACTAGTACTGTCGAATTGTGCTTCTGATCACACTGTCTTAAAAACTTATTGCCCACGATACTTCCTGAATTCGATTGCTAACACAAAAGCTTAAAAGATCATGTATATATTTATAATTGGAGAAGTAGGATTTGGCCATTTATTTATTTTTTTTTTTTCTCTTTTTGTGCCAAGCAATTGGTTTCAGTTATATTTCGGGAAGGGGAGAAAATAATTTTGTTAGTATTAGCACAAATTTAGATGCATTGTTTTCTTGTTAAAAGTGCTGCTGTCTCAGATTTTAATGAGTATATTATGTAAATTACAGTAAAACAAAAAGTGATTTATTTGTTGATTTTGTCTGTAGGAAAAGGCAGGAGGCACCCAGCTTCTGAAATATTTACTAATTACTGTTTTTTATTTTGTTTTAAATCGCAGATTACTACTAACTCAATAATTAATGAATAGTCGAAAGCATAAGAAGCAATGAAATTAAACATCTATCCACACAAAATGCCCAGTGTCAAATAAGGTATAATTTAAATTTAACGAAACATGTAATGGGCAATTCCACATGGGGGAAAAAAATAGTGTTAGTTTAGAAAATCTGAATTTTCGCATATCATATTACAGATTTACACGGAAGAAAAAATCATGCAGTACTGTGAAAATAAAATTCGATATGTTGAAGGAATTGTAACAAAGCATACTTGTTTTACTTGTTATTACATCTCGCTGGTTCATAGGAATTTCAGTTTTGTAATGCTACTCATATTTTGCAATGCCAGATAATTATTAGCAGCTAAACCATTTCGAATAATTATGAAAGTTTCCCAACTCTGAAAGTTAAAATAAAAATTTTCTATCAAATGATGAATGAATTTCTGTCATTTTCATTTAATTTCTGACACTTTAAAGATATTTTCCCTCAAAAATTATATACGAAAGGTGGCTTATTTCGTCAAGAATACTAAAATAGGTGAAACAAGAGAAGGTTTTAAAATGAGAAGTAAAAATCGCCGTTAGCTGGCTTATCCGAAACAGCAGGGATCATTGAATCTGAAAGTTAAGACACCCACCACTTTTTAATCATTTCTTTTCATATTTTAGACGTAAATATTTATTTCATAATGGAAACAAATGATCTTAGTATAATATATATACAAATAGCAAACTGTGAAATACCAGTCCAGGAAAAGAATATCAAAAATTCATCAAAATATAGAGCGACATAGCTGTGGAAAGAAAAAGCTTAAAAGAAGATCGCTTAATATTTTATATATTTATGCAAATTCTTTGTGTTGTAGACATGTAAACGTATTGTATTACTTAATTCCTGTACATATATATTTCTACTTATTACTGGCCATGGGTTACCGTGGATTACTCGAAAAAAGTGCTATCCGAACAGCTCCACCCAAGTCAGTTCGGATAAAAGGGTTTATGCTATATGCAGAAATACAAATAAGCCACACTAAATTCCCTCTAGGTGACCAACAAAAGCAAAATAACTTGAAATTCTGGGAAAATCACAGTTTTTTTTTTTAAATAAATAATTTATTTACCTCTTATTCACTTGTTTGTTTTGTAGTAACAGCATATCATAATTAAAAGTAGAACTGTAAAAATTCTAACTGTTTGGAATAATTGTAAATTGTATCGTTTTCAAAACAGAAAGGCAGTTTCACACATTATAAAATTACTTTCAAAAACAAGAATATCAAATAAATGTGAAGTTAAATCATGCCGTATCCGATTTCGTCTGCATGAAGAAGGCATAAAAAAATTAGGTATTTTGCCGCCTCCTGTGTTATAACTAATGAAACTTATTTAAGTAGCCATTGTTCTCCTATGAGAGTGTTTTAAGAGCACTTTGACAACCGATTGTCCACCCTAACTTGACAACTCAGATGCGGGTATGGAACATGACTGTCGTATTTTATAGTGTCGCCAGAGCCGCGGTGAATCACGCAACGCCAATTTAATAGATTCTTATCTTGGCGGAATAACTGCTCTGTATATTAAGCTAGAATTAGTTTGGGTTTAGAAAGGAGAAATGCGATTTTATTTAAGGCTACGCGTGTCGACTAAAGATGAGATTTCAACACGAGACTAAAGAATCTTTTATTTAAGTTTTTTTAATTTTTTGTTCTCGCTTACCACGTACAGTAATATAAAGAATTGCTTTTATTCACTAAACTGAGTTAAAGAATGTAGTTTATGCAAATCTTTATGTTTTGTCTATATCCAAGATAAATATAAAGATACTTGCATGTAAATTGATTTTTAATGTAAATTAAACGTACTTTTGCGAGTCAGAAAAGAAACGTGTCTTTTAAGGAGTATTTTTTAATAATACATCTTTTTAAAACTTCTGCTTTCTTGTCTAAAAGTTTATATTTTAGTTCTTACCTTTTCCTTGCTTTTGATTTTTGCTCTATATGAGCTCTTATTTTAGAAATTAACGTATATTAATGAGAAAATGCGTTTAAGGAATAGGCAAATGAACAGTTTTGATGATGGTATTTCAGATTTTTATTCACTAAACTGAGTTAAAGATTGTCGTTTATGCAAATCTTTATCTTTTGTCTATATGCAAGGTAAATATAAGGATACTTGCATGTAAATTGATTTTTAATGTAACTTAAACGTACTTTTGCGAGTAAGAAAAGAAGCGTGTCTTTTAAGGAGTATTTTTTATCTATTTAAAACTTCTTTTTAAACTTTTTAATAATACATCTATTATTCTACTGTTGTATTTTAAAAGTTTACCATGTGCAACCGAATAGAAGATAATTCTCTTATTCCTCCCCTTAGGCAAATAATTAACTTGCTTTACAGTAATTGATTAACCACTCATATTTAGCATTTCAGTTTCAAGTACTCCTGATGTAATATCAAAATCTTTGATTAAAATATTGTTTAGAAGAGAATTTAAATAATTTGCAGGATTAAAGGAATGATTTTTCCAAAATTTATAACAGTTAACTATAAGTTAAGCTTTCTAATGAAAAAGAAAAGGATTTATTAATTATTCATTCTTTTACTAAAATTACATTCTTGCACATTTTTTACAAAATGTCGTTCCTAATAGACATTTGAGTAACTTTCACACCTGTCGCTTTTGAGAGCTTTTATTTAGTCTAAAGGCTTAATTAATTACCATCTTGTTATGAAAAACCTTTCGTTCAAAGTCAATTGTATGCAGTACACTTGACTTACAGCAGTAGATTTTTAGTGTTAATTAGCATTATTTATAGAAATAATAGTATAAATTACATTCGTTTACTTTATGGAAAAGCTTGTAAAAAATCTTCTCAGTGAGGCAGATTAACATAAGTAGTCTTTAATGATGCAGTTTACTAGCGCTTTCCATCTTTACATTTTTTGAAGTATCTAGTTACATTTTGTGACATAAAACTGCCGAATGCAATGCTCCAAGCATGTATAGACTATTGATAAATTTCATCATGTTTTCGTGCAAGAAAACATACATTTTTTTGTGTGTATACTATTGTATTTTAAAAGTTAAATGACTTTTCATTTTATGATCCTCTTCCTAAGATTCTTTAATTTATCCTGCTTATATTTGTAATTCATGAGGTACTCCAAATACATAAAAATGACTATAATTTTGTTTCTGATTACATAATCCACGAGAAAAATAGCAATTATATTTAAAAACAGAAGAAGATAGACGACTTGTATAACTAGATATTGCAAAAATGCTATTGTATATAAATCTTAAATCATCCAAACTACTTCTCGTACAGCCACTTTGTTTGATTCCTTTTTACCTACAAAATTATGAAAAAATTATGTAATTCAGTAAAAACTAAAAAATTAACTACATTAATAACTTCTTGATAAGTACCTAAATTTTACACAACTTATCTATATTAACACAAATAATAAGAGAAAATCTAAATGTATAAATAATCGCATAAAAAGCAATTTTCATGAAGAATGAAAATGTGCATATGATTTTGGAAGCTGTTTTGCTTTCACTAGCCAACAATGCATTTCAGTGTTTTTATGTGTTAAAAATATGCTTTCCATTAATAGATTTATAAATGTCATCCACATTTTAAACTGTTATTAAACTGAAATAATGACACAACTGTCAATGAAAAAATTCTTTATTAATTTCATCCATATAAAATTATAACAGGCAATATGATTAAATTCCAGGTTATAACATACAAATTTTAATCTGAAATTTTACACATATTTCTGCAAAACATTAAAGCAGGTATATTTCCACATGACATATATATTAACCACATGACATATAGTACTAGCATTGTATCAAATAGTAGAATAGGAAAATAAGAAATTATAACCATTAATTCAATATAAAGACGAAAAACATCCTGTCATAGAAAAAAAAATCCTGTTAAATTAATTAATTAATATAATTAAACAGATTTTAATACAGCAAATTTCGATTGTTACTGCGATCACTAAACATAAATGCATGTAAGAAAACGGGTAAAGACAAACTTCTTGCACTGAAAGCTTTAACCAAAAGTTAGTTAACTGAGTTACTTAAACAGACACACCTAATACTTGACATTTGTACCACTCTACATATAAAACCACATGACTCTAAATAATATTAAGCTAAAACAATGGAGATTTCTTTTCTAAACATATCTATAAAACCTTAGTTAACACTGCAGAACTTTTTCTAAGCTTTATTAAAAAAAAAGCCCTATTAATTATATTTTACTGCTAACAATTTGTTTATCACATGTATTAATTTTCTTGCTATGGATTAATTATTAAGTCTATGAACATTAATTATCAGTGGACTTGTCAGCGATTATTACTCAAGCAGTCCCCATTGGTTGAAAACTCGCCTGAATATTCATTGATAGATGTAAAGTTTAACTTCTCAAAAAATCGATTTAATAATTG